TCATTACAGTAGGTTCTCAGTAGCTATTTGTTGAATTAAATGAGTGAATAAATAAACAAACTTTTAAATCCAAACGTGGTTGATCTTTTATCTGTGCTTATTGAGATTCCTGAACCCAATGTGAGACTTTACCATCTGGTAGAAAAATATACTGGGAAGATAAAGGGTCAGTAAATATTTGTTGACTGAATGGATTAATCTTAGATAGGACCTTGTATTGGTTTTGAAAAGCTGGGTCAGATACAGAGTAAATAGCTTGTGTGAAATCATTCCTAAACCTAAATTAATCCCTTCATCATCCCTTTTTTCAGATTGCTTTGATCTCTAGGACCAGTTTTCTTTGCATGGTCCTCTGTGTTCTCTTAAAAAACACAACTAAAATTTAAGTGAAAAGTTTTGGCTAACCACCTTCTTCTGAAGACGGTTGAGAAGATTCTTTAGAAAAACTAAATTTTTGTATTTGAACTATCAGTTTATTTTAGAGTGAATTCACTATAGAATCAGTTAGATCCCAGTGCTGTCCCATCAGTCGTTTGTTTTGGGCCTAAGTGTGTGTGTGGTTTTGAGTGGGGTTAAGATAAAGGGTGTGTATATTACTCTTGCCAGATGACTTGGAAAGACTTCTGTTGTGTATTTCTTCAGTTGGAGAATTTAACTGAGGGAGAGACAAATGGAAGCAGGCTTCCCATTTCTCAGTGCCAGCACAAGTGCTCCTAAATACATGCAGTGCCATTTGAGTTTTGTTGTCTCCATAATTCAGAAGCTTGGAAAAGCAATCAAAAAACTGCTAGGTTATACTTGTGTCCCTTTTGGGACATTTGAGTAAGTTTAATTATCTAGTTATTTTTAACCAGACAGGAAAGTAGAATTGTTTTGGCAGGCCGACATGTTCACATCTGTGTTGGTTTGTATGTTCTTGCCAAAAGTGTTCTTAGTAGTATTAAGGAGAAAAATGATTCATAAGCTTTTTCAAATTGAAACCTACAACTCATTTATACTTATTCATTCCCATTGATATCATTAATATGAATGGCTCTATGTAGTTTTCTAGGAATTCCTCATCTTAAGTTGAGAGAAAGAGTAGTCTCATCACAGTTGGGAAGCATTTTTCCAGTGGCGTTCATGTATTTAGTTCCTCATGCTGTATGGAATGTAAAGCCTTAGCAGATGCCAAGAAATGCTTATTTAATGAGGTCATTTATGTCTGTGGTCTTCTCAGGTTGAAAGACTCTGCTGGACTACTTAGAACATCAGCTTTATCCATAGTCTGTTGAGATCTGTTAAAAAAAAACCAACCCACAGACAGTTTAGGGACTCATTTATTCCTACTTTCAGTGAAAAACCCATAGTGCCCAGACCCAAAAGTCTACTCAGGAAAGAATTAAAAACACTGAGCTTTCACACGGAGTGGATTGAAAATGAGTGCATCATATTATTCTTCAGTGGAAAACTTACTTTTTTTTCTTTTAGCATATT